GCCCTTAAGTCGCAGGGGTCACTCCAGGGGGGCATCACGCTGGAGGGAACCTCCAGAGACAACCTGGGGCAACGGCCCCCCTTGACTACTCGCGCTAACCTCTCTCTGACCTGAAGCCTCTCCTCCAAAAAACAACCAAAGTGTGACCAGGGAGAGTCCGCCCCGACTGAGCCTCCACATCAGGCACAGTGGCCAGCAGGCTGAAGACCAAGAGCTTCATGTTTAGGAAAAATCTGACATGTGACCATTACGCTCTTGCTAACGTCTGGGCCACGCACCCTCAATTGCCTGGCGTCCTTTGTCTCCAAGAGGTTAGACAAATGGGGGTCGCTCAGGGGCAAACAGTCAGGGCCGAGGCCTGCTGACCATCAAACACATCTAAAGGCGGCTGGGGGAGCTCTGCTCCTTCACCCAGGCCACGAAGACGCCCAGCCTCAGCAGGAGGCAGTTACAGAAGACGCCCAGCGCCGGAAGAAAGGCAGACGAGGGAGCTGCCGCTCGCAAAGCGCATGCACAGTTCCCAAGAAATGATTTAAAGTCTAACCTTTTTTTTCCTTTTGTGCTTAGTCTGGCTTCCCTTCCTCCTAGGTGGCTGCGTGCAGAGTCCTTGCTCCCGGGCCGCGTGCAGGGCTGCTGCCGCCCGCCTCTGAGATCTGGAGCCTTGAGCAGCGCATGCGCCCGACTTGCGAGAACCCCGCCCCCTCCGCTGCCCAGGACCCTATAAAGCAGCCCCGCCCACGGCCTGGCGGGCTGCCGGGAGAGCTTGTCGAGGTGGCACCTCTCCATTCTTTGATCAAAGAATAAAGCTTTCCTTTGTTTCTGAACTGAATTCAGTCTGCTTCTATTGGCCCGAACAACACTGGGCAGGAGGACCCTTGTTGGGGCCCAACTCCGAAGGGTCAGAACAAGCGGTCTACTTGCCTCCATTCTTACTTTTCCGTGCCCACAGCCCGAGTTCCTTCTCCAACCTTAGCCAGCTCTGGTGTTTCATAATGATCTTCAAAGTCCTCAGGACTGGGGGCAAAGGAGGTGAGGGAGTGAGGATAGGACGAGCGTGGGTACAGATTGGTCACCTCCTCTTCCTGGAAACATTCTTCTGAGTGTATGCCCTACCGGTGGCAGGTTATTCTGGGCTCCTGAGTCTATGGGGGTGTGATGGCGTTAGTAACATCCCCTGTACCGAGTGGGCACAGATGGACAAAGTGGGCACCCAGGAAGCTGGAGAAAGGCGAGAGAGGCATTGGGTGGGTTCACAGGCTGAGCAAAGCACTTTGATGTTGTGCTAGTGGTGTCTGGCGTTAGCCTCTGACTGCGAGGTCCTTCTGGGGACCACGGCCATGATGAAGGAACCAGTGGCGTTGGTGGCGGTGGTGGTGATAGTATTGCCAGTGGTGAGAATGACGCCTTTTAATGTCTTGCTTCTTTGCTATTTCTTCTTATGAATTCATTGTATACATTTTTAAAAATAGGTAAGAAAAAAAAGTGGGATCTCATCACTGAGCAACTTCGCCGGTATCTATAGAGCTTTTCCTATGGCTTGATTCTAGGTTCTGGGAATAGAGGGAGAATGAAGGACTCCCTCCCTCCTGGAATTTATAAACAGATGAACAAATGGATCAGACATTTTCAGAAAGCGTTAAGGGCAATGAAGAAAATAAAATAGAGCATGGAAAGTAACTTCTTGGAAGTTTAGCTTAGAAGAGATGGTCATTATTCACATCTTTACGTGTGTGCTTTTTCAAGGTCATTTCCCCTCAGTATCTGCCCTCCTGATTTAACTATAAATCATCCACCTGAAAATGGGATCATGATGTACCTTCTGTATCGTAACCTTTTTTTTTCACTTAATATACTGTGAACATCTTTTGGTTTCATTACTTATTCATCTGCATCTTTATTTTCATGGACGTAGAGCAATTATTCAGACAGGCTGTACCGTACTTACATGACCCTTATGACTGCACACAGGTTGCTTCCAGTGTGTTGAAGGCGTGATGCCTCTGGAATCTGTCCTTGTCCTTCCGTCATCACTGTCACCTCCCTGGCTCAAGCTTGCACTGACCCCGGTGGACACCTGACCCAAGCTGGGTCAATTAGAGCTTTTCCCTGGAATTTGAAAAACCAGAACAGAGGAGAGCAGCCTTGGGAAGGCCAGAAACCATACCGCCATCTGCGTTAAGAGGACGGCGTGCTGCCGGCTAGCATGTGGCTGATGCACGGACGGAAGTAAAGGGGAGGCACAGAGAGAAAGGGCCCCTGGTACCAGATGCATCAAAAGATCCAGATGCATCTTCGTCCATACCATAGCTTGCTGTTTCAATCCTTCACTGTATTCCTTGAGGCAACAAATTTCTCTCTAGTCTAAGCGAGTCTGAGTTCTGTCGCTTGCAACCAACGTGCTGCAATTCTTGGAGCCTCAGCTTTCTCATTGAAAGTGATGATGATAACGCTTTCTTCATAGAATTGTTGTATTTTAAAAAGATATTGCGGGCTTCCCTGGTGGTGCAGTGGTTGAGAGCCCACCTGCCGATGCAGGGGACATGGGTTCGTGCCCCGGTCCGGGAAGATCCCACATGCCACGGAGCGGCTAGGCCCGTGAGCCATGGCCGCTGAGCCTGCGCGTCCGGAGCCTGTGCTCCACAACGGGAGAGGCCACAGCAGTGAGAG